TTGCTGTTTTTTTGGAAACCATCATACACTACCATTGGGGTAAGATAAAAAAAAAAAATTATATAAGAAATAAGAAATTACTTTTAGACAAAGGATGCATTAAATTAAATGAAAGTGACAGTAAAAGACATTTATAGTGTTACAAAATATTTCTAGCTCTAATAAATGCTGTTCTTTTGAACTTTCTATTCAAAGTATCCAAAAACACATGCATCACAGGTTTCACAAAAATATTAAGTAGCAAAAACTGTTTTTAACATTGATAATACAAACCATTATTAATAACCGAGCACCAAAACATATTAGAATGAAGACTGGAATAATGATGCTGAAAATTCAGCTTTACCTCCACAGGTAAAATAGAAACAGCTATTTTGACCAGTAGCACATGTTTGCATAAAAATCAATCTTTTTTTTCCCCCCCTCACAAAAAAAAAAATAATAATTTAACATTAATTTTCAGCATCTGGAATTTCAGTGCATCTGTAGGCTGTAGCAGCATGTGCCAAGGGTCTCACCCTTCTTTCCTTTGAGGCATCAAGGTACCAGAACCTCACGTGCCTGTTCCCTGCGGTTACAAAGTAGCTGTTGTCCTCCGAGAAAGATACAGCAAGCACACGACTGGACACCTTGTTGGATGCAATAACAGTCCCCTTCTACAAGCAAAGAAATATTTAAAAGCATTATTTCTTGTAAACCAGACTCACAAGCTGCCTTCCGACTGACAGGGTCCCTATGCAGTGTTCACTGCTCCCTATGAACTGAGCACAGGATGTCTGTTGTAAGTTCAGTTTACTTAACTTACTTCCTCAAGTCGTGCAATAAAGAAGTTCAATGTGTCCTTCACGTAGAGTCAGAAATATCATAATTACAAATTCTGAGCAAACAAATGACTGAGCAAACTCACATTTACCAGTTGGGATTATAGATAATGCACAAGATGCTCCCCTGTATAGGATGTGTCAATTTGAAATGGTGGAAACGCTAACTTATGTAGAGAATATCACACGTAAGGAAAAAATAGTCTTTGTAATCTTATTAAAATTCTATATCAGTCAGGTCATTTTCTTATGTCCATGGCTGTGATTTGGTACCCACCTTCCACTCCCAGACGCTGACTGTCCTGTCGTGCTGGTATCCCACAGACACTATATAGCTTCCATTGGGGGAGAAAGATACACACGCCACCCCGTACTTATGGCACTGGACCTCTGCCACCTGTGTCCGCTCTGCCACATCCCACACCCGCACACAGGGCATGTGCCCGCTCTGCCAAGCAACAGGGAAAGAGACAGTGAACAAATTATTGATAGTAATTTGCAATGCACAAAATCATCAGAATAAATGTGGGAGACCCCACACCCAGATACAGTATGTCTACACTACTATACATCATACATATCTTACTCGATCTTAGTTAAGCCTTAGACACTGTTGACCACATGCTTTTACTAAATCGACTGGAAACTGTCTTTGGTGTATCTGGGACTTCCCTAGATTGGTTTAGGTCATATTTTTCGGGTCGCAGTCAATTTGTTTTTATGGATGGTTTCAGATCTGATGTGGATCCTGTTTGTACGTACTGGTGTCCCACAGGGCTCAGTTCTTGGTCCCCTGCTTTTTAGCATTTATATTTATCCTCTTGGTCAGCTATTAAGCATGCTGATAAACGCAACGCAATCAACAAACACAATCAAACAGGAAGACTCGTTCAGTTCTGCGTTCTCTGGCCTGCTCCGCTCTAACCTTACAGTCAACACAACAGGGCTGAGGCTCAGAACGTTAACGTTACCCGGTTGTGAATGTCTCTTCTGTTGCTCTGTCGCGTCTTTCTCCTCATGTTCGCTGCTACTGAAATGCTGCTGTTGTTGACTTTCTTTGCTCGAGAGGTCAAACAACTCGCGTTTAGATTCGCTCCGAAGACCAAAGCCCCATCCGCCATAGTGTAACACTTTTTTAAACGGTTCAATAAATAAGCCAGACTCTATTAGTTCGCATTTAAAAGTGTTAAACGCTGTCCATTCGTATGACACGCGAATGCCCGACTAGTTTATACTCCGAGCGACTTTCAAACACTGATTGAGGATCATAAGTTTTAACTGAGGAAGCACGAAGGAATGAGTTGTAATGTTCGGCTGAAAACGAAACTTCGACATGTACACAGCTGTAAGCAATGAAGTCCGTGTAATGTGATCTGATACTGGCGGTTTCAAACATACACCGTCTCCTGTGATTGGATGAATCGCGCACCGGAGGCGGGATCATCCGTGTATCTCACTCACTATTGGTCAATTTAATATGACATCTTTATAGGTTTGCACAGACGTCTTACTTTTTTGTGTTTGTTCTGTTATTAAAGATTAATTTAAAAATAAAAAAATAAAAACTTTCCCTTTACTAGAAGTTGTGATCATTCAATTAATTTTAAACACATAATCATTAAGCATAAACATAATAAAAGCAAGAATCGTTTACAGTTTTCCTAAATTACATAATTACAGAAAAGGTTTCAAACATTAGGATAGACAACGCATTGCGTGAAATGGCTATTTACATAAACGATTAAATATTGCATGATTGATGTTATTACGTAAACACGGGGCACAAATAATTTACGAAAAACTATTGTTTATGTTTGGATGCTATATTTTCATTCACTGATTTTTTTATGGAGTCAAAGCTCAAAGCTATTCAATTCAAGTTGTCACGTTTATTTGTATAGCGCTTTTCCTATGGAAACCCGTTTCCGCCATAAAAAATTAAATAGGTAATTGCGACTTTTTATCTCACAATTCTGACTTTTTCCCTCAGAATTGTGAGATATAAACTCGCAATTCTGAGAACATGTATTTTTCCCCCTCAAAATTGGACTTTAACTCGCAATTGCGAGTTTATATCTCACAATTCTGACTTTATAACTCGAAATTGTGTTTATATCACGCAATCCTGAGAAAAAAAAAGTCAGAATTCGGACTTTTTTTTTTTTTACAAAATTGAGAAAAAAAAAAAAAAAAAAAAAGCCAAATTCTTTTTTTTTTTTTTTTTTATTCAGTGGCGGAAACGGGCTTCCATACTTTTCACATACAAACAGCTTTACAGAACATTTAAGTTTCAACATTATATTTAGTAGTAGCTTATCAGTGGTCAAGTTGATGTCCATATGGCAGAAATGTACAGTACAAATCATGCAGTAAGTTAATGACATGTAATTAATATATATATATATATATATATATATATATATAGCAGCAAAAGCATCTTTGCTTTTGATAATAAAAATAATGAAGAAAAATAAGAACATGTCTATATATTTGTATTTATTTATTTAGCCTATTTATTTACACTTGCTTGTGTAATTGCTTATTTTTTTTCCATGTCTGCTGCCTTTAGTGATTAATCGCTCGCATGATTGGCTCAAAGCAACCTATTATCTACATAATATTTATATTTTTGGATGCACTGAACCTAAAACTAAAGAGAAAGACACCTGTATAAGATGAGCGAGCAGTTTTCATCAGAAATATTCAATCTATTCTAAAAGGGGGATGTGGCTTCACTGTGTTTTGAAACGGTTTCTCATGGGTGGGCTCAAGGGTTTAAAACCAGTCAGGCTCTTGCTGCTGGCTCAGATTCACACTGAATCACAGAATCCAAAGACAATGAAAAATTCCACAAAGTCATCAGAATATGTGTGGGATTACGAGTACTACTACGATTACATAGATCCGGTCTCCGTGAATGCCACTACACTGAAGTACAACAGATGTGAGCTACTTTGACATCCTCTTTTTGATCACAGTTCAGATAATCTCATGTCTAACTGTATTTTTTTTGTATTGTTATTTTAGATTCAATTGTCATAATATTCTGGATCATTCTAGCTGCATTTATTGGGTTTTTCTTCTTGATTTTGTCACTTATATCACACTCAAGGCAACTTCCGAGGTAAGCATGTCTTTTTGATCACAGTTCAGATAATCTCATGTCTAACTGTATTTTTTTTGTATTGTTATTTTAGATTCAATTGTCATAATATTCTGGATCATTCTAGCTGCATTTATTGGGTTTTTCTTCTTGATTTTGTCACTTATATCACACTCAAGGCAACTTCCGAGGTAAGCATGAAAATGCTTTTTTTTTTCTTTCTCCATGTCACGGTATAAACAATATTTTATTATTATTACACAATGTTTATTTTAAATGCATGTTATTTTTTCCATTATTTTTCTAAAAATGAAAAAAAGACAATACAGCGCTTTTTACATAACCAACTATACTTGTTTAACGTATAGAGATCATAATACTCAGCTAATTTATTAAAAAGGCTTCTAGATAGTCATTGGGACATTAATGATTAAGAAAAGAACAAATATTTATGCAGTGGATATTAATTTTCATTTGTTTATGTAGGGGCCCTCATGTCAAAAAATCTGGGTTGCCATTGATGAAAAGCTTCGGAGCGCCTCAGAAAAGATACAAAGAAGCAACTTCAAGAAGAAACTAAATCCATGATGATCTATTTAATATTTCATTTCAAGTGACAACTGACTGCTGAGCATCTGCCATTAAACCACAACATCATGATGAATGTGTCTGTTTATTTTTATGAAATTTAATGATGAAAAATTAGGTGTACATACAATTTCTGAAATTAAAACGCATTTCATACAACATTCACTGAATATCAATAATGAGAACATATTCTAGATTTTGGAATGGTTTTCATCTGATATTCTCAAAGGGGACGTGTCAGTATCAGTGAAGAACTACTAAAAATGTGCTATAGATGTGCTTTTTTTTTTTTTTTTTTTAAACGACTATAAAACTACAAAAAGATCCACTCAACTTTTATTTATTCCTATTTTGTATTGCATGTCATGATTCAACCGCAGACAGAATGTCTTCACACATGCGCAGGACGTGAGGTTTGGGTTTTCTGATGCCTGTCCTGTAGCACAGATGTCTGGCATGGGTCAGCAGGAGGTCAGGTGACCGCGCTCCACTCCAGAGCTCATAGATGTACAGCGAGAGCAATTTCAGTCCGCTTTCTGTCAACAAAACAAACATCACCACATCAGTGGAAAAAGACAAAAAATGCAGGATATAGAGCTTATCACACTTTTTCAACGTTCTACTATAGAGACTATAGTAGTACTATATGAGATTTGAAAAAAAGAAGGAGTATAGGCCCGTTCACACCAAGCACGATAACTATAAAGATAACGATAAAGATATAGTTCTAAAAATCGTTCTCAATATTAAAGAATAGCAGAGTCCACACCATAACTATAATGATAAAGGCACAGAGAAACGATATCATTGGAATCACTTTCAGAACGATTTTTTCCAGCTGATGAACGATACAAACATTGACAGCCAATCAGAATCCATCTTGCTATAGCTCGAGAATTTAAAGCGGCAGACGCGTGTGCGCTTAGAATAAACAGACAATATCGTTCGTTGGTGTGGACGCTAATATAGTTATCTTTATAGTTATCGTTCTTGGCGTGAACCGGGCTTAAAGGGATAGTTCACCCAAAAATGAAAATGTGATGTTTATCTGCTTACCCCCAGGGCATCCAAGATGTAGGTGACTTTGTTTCTTCAGTAGAACACAAACGAAGATTTTTAAGTCAAACCGTTGCAGTCTGTCAGTCTTATAATGGAAGTGAATGTGAATCACGGCTTTGAGAGTTAAAAAAAACATACTCAAACAAAAACAAATTAAACCCTGCGGCTCGTGACGATACATTAATGTGTGAAGACATGAAACGATCGGTCTGTGCAAGAAACTGAACAGGATTTGTCGTTTTTTACCTCTGATTCACCGCAATTTCCGAACTGTCCTGAGCGCGTTCACTTCTTCTTCTTCTTGCTTTACAGCGTGCAAGTATAAGTGCATTACCGCCACCTATCTCTCAAATGGACCATTGACACTCCTAATTGAGATTGTAGATAG